GTGCCCCGGCTGGGCCGCCTCCAGGGGCCCCACGAGGCGCCGCCCACGAGCGCCTGGCACGCGCTCTGCTGCCCCGGCCCGGCACGCCGGCGCGGGGGCCAGCTGCGGGAGCCCTGAGACGGGGGTCAATGCAGACGGGGGTCAGCCAGAGCGCCCGATTTTGCAGGGTCCTGCAGGGCCAGGGTCGCACTGACCCGGGTTTGGGCGCAGGATCCTGCAGGATCCTTCGCACTGACCCGGGTTTGGGCGCAGGATCCTGCAGGATCCTTCGCACTGACCCGGGTTTGGGTGCAGGATCTTCTTGCAGGATCCTTCGCATTGACCCGGGTTTGGGTGCAGGATCTTCTTGCAGGATCTCGCAGCATTCTGCAGGGCCTGACTGACCTGGGTCTGGATTGACCCGGGTCAGAAGATCCCCGACCGGCTGCGGGGCCAGCACCGCGGGCTCCTGGGCCCCGGTCGCCCCCCGATCGCCGATGCGACCGATCGGCGGCGAAATCCGAACCCATACCCTCGCCGATCAAGGCTTCAGGCAGCTCGATGGGCGGCGGGAGGAGTGTTCGGAGTTCGTCGAGCACGCTGCGAGATTCGAATCCTGCCCCCGCCTGTCCATCGATGCAGGAGAAAGGACAGGCGGTGGGGGGCAGGGTTCGGAGGTCGCCACCTGACCGCGGCGCTGCAGCAAGGGCCGCCGTGGGGCTCAAGAGCGGCTCCAGTTTCTGGGCCGCTCCTCGGATCTCGGTCGGGGAGCTCCTTCGAAACCGCGGCTCGCCGTGGCCAGGAACGCCACTCCGTGCCTTAGCCACCGATCTCCCGGCCGACGCAAGATCGATGTTTCTCCCTTGAGTCGGCCCCCCCTGGCGATCCCCCTCGTGCAGGAGGGGTGGACGGCAGCCCGATCGAAATGGGTGCGGAACTACTGGGTGCGAAGACCCCGGCATCGAAGAGGGGGAAATTGCAGAAACGAACATCTTTAAAGATCCGCGCGGATGTATCAGATCTATGTTGTGCCCCCCTGGCGACGCCTCGGGCGCCGATCCACGAAATCCTCGCGGACCTCCGACAGTTTATGCTTGTGCAGCTGTTTTTGTATTTTGTTATATTATTTTTGTTCCCCCAATTATATATGCATGTACACATGTATGTATGTTGTACATATACATATTCAAAACAGAAAATTCAGTTTTAACAAAAAGAACAGTCGTCACTATCGGCATCGCCGCGGGAGTTGTCCATTGGAGGCACAGGGTTGCCTGCCCAACAACGGGCGCTGCCGGTTTTGGGCGGCAGCGTTTGCTGTCGGGCTTCGTACTCACTTTCTCCCTGTATGGGGCATGCCACGAAGGGTCGACGGCGGCCCAGGCAATGCCTGGGCCGGGGCCCACCGTTCGAAGAAGAAGAACACCGTAAACATAAGCTTGTGGCGCTTCGCGCGGATTTCGTGGATCTGCGCTGGGCCCCCCCCCCGGCGGCGCCTCCGGCGCAGCCCCCCGCGCGCTCCGCGCGCCAGGGAGTGGGCCCCCCCGCAGACCGAACAAGTCCGCGCGGAGCGCCAACCGTTTATGCTTATGCCGTTTTTCTTCTCATGAAGGACGGATAGTCGGAGGAGGGCCAACCGGATGAGGACCAACCGGAGGAGGAGGAGGAGGAGGAGGAGGAGGAGGAGGAGGAGGAGGAGGGAGGAGGAGGAGGAGGAGGGGGAGAGGAGGGAGGGGGAGGAGGGGGGGGGGGGAGGGAGGGGAGTAGGAGGAGGAGAGGAGGAGGAGGAGGAGGAGGAGGAGGAAGGAGGAGGAGGAGGAGGAGGAGGAGGGAGGAGGAGGAGAGGAGGAGGAGGAGGAGGAGGAGGAGGAGAGGGGGAGGAGGAGGAGGGGAGGAGGAGGGGGAGGGGGGGGAGGGGAGGGGGAGGGGGGGGAGAGGGGAGGAGGAGAGGAGGAGGGAGGGAGGAGGAGGAGGAGGAGGAGAGGAGGAGGAGGAGGAGGAGGAGGAGGAGGAGGAGGAGGAGGAGGAGGAGGGAGGAGGAGGAGGAGGAGAGGAGGGAGGAGGAGGACGAGGAGGAGGAGGAGGAGGAGGAGGAGGAGGAGGAGGAGGAGGAGGAGGAGAGGGAGGAGGAGGAGGGGGAAGGGGAGGGGAGGGCAACAACGGCGGGGTCCCTCCTGCTTGCAGTTCTGCTCTCTCTGCTGCGGCTCCTCCGGAGGCCTCTCCTCGCCGCGGCGGGGCGCGCCTCGAGAGAAGCCAGTCAGGACAGACCTTACGTCGGGCATGTCCCTCTACATCCGAGGCCCGAAAACCATCACTTCACCAATTTTGGGCCCCAGGGCCCACTGAGGCCCCAGGGGCCCCAGATTAGTGAAGTGATGCTTTTTGTCCCACGTAAGGACCCCGAAATTCATCACTTCACTAAACCGAGCCCAGGACGAAAAAGAGGGGCCGAATTGCTGCTGTGATGCAACATCGGTCTCGTATCTACAGGGGGGAAGTTCAAAAAGAATACAAAAACAGTCAGGGGACGTTTTTTGTTGTTGATTTTTTCAGTGCATGTTTTTGAATATGTCTTGATGTTTTCATTTTTCGTCCAAGATCCGCCTCTAGGAGGACATGCCCGACCTAAGGATGGATCCGGGGCTGGATGGGGGTCCAGGGATTGGCTTCGAATGGGCTTGGGCTGGGCGCGAGAGCAGCCGCTGTCCCGATTTGACCGCCTCCGAGAAGCCGAGCGCTGGCGAAGCGTCCTGGCTTGCCTGTAGGTCGCCGAATAATGTTCTAAGAACTTTTTAGTGGTCTGCACGTTCTCTACAGCATTTCTGGCCGAGACTTCGTTTCAGAACAACGGGCTTATGTTGGAAGAATTTTTTTTTTGTTTACGGGTGCAGCCCGTAATTTGACTTTTGGCAAGTCGACTGACTGACTGACTGACAGAACTGACAACTGAATCACCAAATCCGTTAGATCGCTGGCAGTTTTAGGCCAGGTGTGTGAGGATATTTCGCTGGCAGTTTGAAGTCATGGCGGTGAGGATATTTCGCTGACAGTTTTAGGCCAGGGTGGTGAGGATTTTTCGCGGGCAGTTTCCAGTCATGGCGGTGAGGACATTTCGCTGACAGTTTTAGGCCAGGTGGTGAGGATGTTTCGCTGGCAGTTTCAAGCCAGGGGAGTAAGGATATTTCGCTGGCAGTTTTTTAGGCCAAGGGCTCCAGGATATTTCGCTAGCAGTTTTAACCGAGGGCTGTGAGGATAGTTCACTGGCAGTTTTCAACAGGGGGTTGAGGTATCTCGCTGCCAATTTTAGGCCAGGGGCGTGAGGATATTTCGCGGACTGTTTGAAGCAAGGGTATTGAGATACTTCTCTGGCAGTTTTAAGTCATGGCGGTGAGGATATTTCGCTGGCAGTTTTAAGCCAGGATGGTGAGGATTTTTCACTGGCAGGTTCAAGCGAGGGGTGTGATGACTTTTCGTTGGCAGTTTGAAGCGAGGGTGGTGAGGATATTTCACTGGCAGGTTTAAGTCAGGGGGGTGATGATATTTCGCTTGCAGTTTTAGGCCGGGGGCGTCAGGATATTTTGCTGCCATCTTTAAGCGAGGGACGTGGGCATACTTCACTGGCAGTTTTGAGCGAGGCTGGTGAGGATATTTCGCTGGCAGTTTTAGGCCGGGAGGGTGGGGATATTTCGCTGGCAGTTTTAAGCCAGGGCGGTGAAGATATTTCGCCCGCAGTTTAAGTGAGGGTGCCGAAGAGACTTCGCTGGCAGTTTGCAGCGAGGTGTGTGAGGAGACTGCGCTGGCACTTTTAAGTCAGCGGTTGGACGATACTTCACTGGCATTTTTGAGCGAGGGGTGTGATGATATTGCGGGCAGTTCTAAGTCAGGGCGGTGAAGATATTTTGCTGGCAGTTTTAAGCCAGGGGGGTGACGATATTTCGCTGGCAGTTCTAAGTGAGGGGTGTGAGGATATATTTCTTGAAGTTTTAAGTGAGGGCGGTGAGGATGATTCGCTAACAGTTTTGAGCGAGGGGTGTGGGGATACTTCGCTGGCAGTTTTAAGCGAGGGCTGTGGGGATATTTCGCTGACAGTTTTAGGCCAGGGGCGTAGGGATATTTCGCTGGCAGTTCTAAGCGAGGGCGGTCAGGATATTTTGCTGGCAGTTTTAAGCCAGGGTGGTGAGGATTTTCCACTGGCAGTTTCAAGCGAGGGATGTGAGGATACTGCGCTGGCAGTTTTCAGTCAGGGCGTTGTGGATATTTCGCTGGCAGTTTTAAGCCTGGGGGCCCTGCCTCACCCAGCTGAAGGTTACGCATCCAGCGCAGTGCTGCTCCCGTATGTATGCTCGCCCCTTGGCGTGGGGCTGGCTGGGGGCCAAGGGGCGAGCTGTCCCTTGTTTGTTCTCAGAGCATTTGTGAGTTCTGAGAGAGTTTCGTGTTAGGCTGATAAGGACAGCCGGGACGGTCGGTCCCTGCTCAAAGAAAGGGGTCCTCAGGGAGACGGATCCTGGGGGGTGTTTTCTCAGTCGTCGGACTCCGGGGGCCCGAAAAAAAGGCTCCCTGGGCATCGCTCGTGTGTGTGTGTGTGTGTGTGTGTGAATTTGTGTATCTATTTTTCTTCGGCGAGGGCCATCGAGGAGCACGTGGGACCATCTTGCGCAAAAAGGGCCGCACGAGACGGACGAATGCACGTGGCATGGACGTCCGAGCGATGGCGAGTGGGGTCCGGGACCCGTTTCCCGAAAGGTATGGTGCAGGCGCGGAGGTCCATCGAGCCTTGGCTTCCTCTCGTCGTCCTCCTCCCCCTCCTCCCCTCTCCCCTCCCTTCCTTCCCTCTCCCCTCCCCTCCTTCCTTCCCTCGCTTCCTTTCTGCTCGCCCTCCTCCCCATCCTCTTCCTCATCCGCCCATTCCTCCTCCCTCCCCCCTCATCTTCCTCCTCCTCGTCCTCCTCCTCTCCTTCCGTCCTCCTCCAGGGGCCGGTGGGGTGCGGGGCGGACGGGCGGCGTGCACGTGGGAATCGCAGGACAGATCGAGTGCCCCGTCAACGACTTCATGGCCAGGGGCGTGTACAACCAGGCCGCGTGCCCCGCACCTCTTCCCGTGCCCTCCCCCCTCTTGCCCAAGCTCCTCCTCGCCTCGCCTCTCCTCTCTCGCCTCGGCGGCGAGGCCAGGGCGGAAACGAGAGGGGGCCGGCCTTCTCCGGTGGCCGGGCCTCTCAGAGGCCCTCGCGAGGAGGAGGAGGAGGAGGAGGAGGAGGAGGAGGAGGAGGAGGAGGAGGAGGAGGAGGAGGAGGAGGAGGAGGAGGAGGAGGAGGAGGAGGAGGAGGAGGAGGAGGAGGAGTCTCCACAGACGTGCGGCCTCTCAGAAGGCCAGGTGGCATCCGAGAAGCCCCGCCGCTTCCCGAGAAGGGCGTGCCCTTCTCGCTTCCCCCCTGGGCCCGCTGCCGATCGCCGCTCCTTGCCTCCACGCCCTGTTTGGACGCCCGGCTCGGGAGTGCAGCGCGTCGCCTTTCGCCAAGGAGTGGAAATGCTCACTGGCGGCTTGGCGCGTTGTCCCCTTCCTCTGTAGTTGCGTTCTCCGACACCAGTCCGCTGTGAAAAAAACAATTCTCTGATTGAATGCCACAATTCAGGCCATGGTGCACCCAAAGGCGCACGCAAACATGTTCTGCGTGTGCGCAGAGGTTGTGTCACATGTGCTTCTCTTTTAGATCTTACCGCAGGACGGGGTAATGCCACATGTTCATTGTGGCGGTATCAGCTACAGTGTACGCCAGGTTGGCGTCAGGAGCAGCGGAGCCCCCCGTTGAACAACCTTTGATGGATCTCCCTCGTTCCTCCTCGCGGCTTCTCTCGCGTTCAGCTGTTGCGCCAGGCATTCACGAATAGATCTGGGCTGATGCCCCAGGCGGTCTCCAGCCCCACCTTCAGCTCCAGGCCCAGCCCCAGCAGCAGATCCAGCCCCAGCTCCAATTCTAGAAGCTTCGCGTAACCCCACCAGCCCACCCAGAAACGATGCCCAGTAGAGTTGCCCTGATCAGGCATGTAGAGGAGCATGCAGTGGATTAATGGGCTGGGGAAGCCGTCGTACCCCAAGAGGGGGAGGATGGATGATGAATCAGAAGAGGAGGAGTAGGAAGAGGAGGAGGAGGAGGAGGAGCAGTAACTCTGGTGCACTCAACTGTGATGATCGGGGGTTGGGTGGGTAAGGGGGGTTTCTTCTCACTTGCAAGTCTACGCTGGATCCCTATTCTATTCTCACATGTGGCTTCGAACCTCTGCCGTAATGCCGAGAGAGAGAAAGAGAGAGAGAGAGAGAGGAGGAGCAGGGGGAGGACCTGTGTAAGCCCAAGAGTCATCAACGATGTTTGAATAAACCCTCCCTCCAAGCTCCCTCTTCATAGGCCCCCACAACGGTTCATTTCCACGGAGGGATCTGCGTCGTTGCAAGACGACCCTTTGAAGACCCTGAAGCATGCCAAAACATTGTTCTCGGAATTCCAACGCCACGGATCAACCTGATTGCTGCGTCTTGACGATGTTTGATCGTGCCAGAGCGGCATTCCTGGGTCTTCAACAGCGCAAATCAAAGTACCTGTTGCACCCTGACAATCCTGAATCCTTTCAAAAACCGTTTCTGGTGCGTTGATCAATGGAACTCATGAAACTCTCTCAAAAGTTACAAACGAATGTGCGCGGCGCTAAGGCGAGAGCCGTATTGTGAGAAGGAACCGCGGTCAAGCCGTTACACTGTCGCAAATTGTATACATGAGTGTGCGCAGTGCTAAGGCGAGGGCCACACTTTCAAAACCATCCGCCCTCAATCCGTGAAGCTCTTGTAAATTTTGTCATAGAATATGCGCGGCGCTAATGCGAGAGCCGCATTTTGAAACTCACCCGCCCTCAACCCGTGAAATTCTTGCAAACTTTAGAAACGAATGTGCGCGGCGCAATGGCGAGAGCCACATTTTGAAAAGGAGCCGCCCTCAATCCGTGAAGCTCTTGCACACGTTGTCAACCAATGCGCGCGGTGATAAGGCGGGAGCCACATTTTGAAAACCAGCAGCCTTTATGTTGCTAAATCCTCGCAATGTTTACGAACGAATCTGCGCGGCGCTAAGTCGATAGCAACATGTTTAAAACCACCCGCCCTCCATCTGTGAAGCTGTTGCCAATGGTTAAGCTTCAGGGTCATGAGTGGTGAGGAAGCCTCAGGCGAAACGCCCGGCCCGCCCTAAAAACTGGCCTCGGGGTGCGACAGGGAGAAGTTGGTTAGAAGGAAAAGGAATGGAGGAGGAGGAGGAGGAGATGAAGGAGGACGAGGAGGAGGAGGAAGATGAGAGAGGAGGGAGGAGGAGGAATGGGCGGATGAGGAAGAGGATGGGGAGGAGAGCCAGCAGAAAGGCCAGAGGCATTTCGGATGTCTTTCGGGGTTTCTTCGGATGTTGCGAGAGTCTCTGGGGGTGTCTTGCGGGCTTCTTGGCGGTCCAGGGGCCACTTGTGGAACCTTTCGGGTGCCTCGGGAGAGCCTCTTGGGGCTTCTCGGGGGGTCCTTGGAAGCCTCTGGAGGACCTCTTGGGGGCCTCCTGGGGCCTCCTCGGTGCACCTTGGGGCCCTCTTTTGGCATTCTTGGTAGCCGTTGGGAGTCATCCACGTAACACGTCAGTCACTCCGCTGGACCCCCCAGCAGCATTCAAACATGGCGACAGTTTCGCAGTTCGCAGCCCCCCAGGGATGGCGAGGTCTAACCTGAATCCGCGTAACACGTCACTCCGCTGGAGCCCCCCGCAGCCTTTGAAAATGGCCACATGTTCTCAGCTCGCAGCCCCCTGTGGATGGCGAGGTCTGACCTGGATCCGCGTAAGACGTCACTCCGCTGGCCCCCCCAGCAGCCCTCGAAAGTGGCGACAGCTTCGCAGCTCACTGACCACCAAGGAAGGCGAGGTCTAAATTGAATCCGCGTGGGACGTCCCCATGCTGGCCTCCCCCAGCAGCCCTCGGAATTGGCGACACTTCTGCAGATCCCAGCCCCCCAAGGATGGAGAGGTCTAATCTGCATCCGCGAAGGACGTCACTAGGCTTACCCCCCTCCAGCAGCCCTCGAAAGTGGGGACAGTTGCGCAGATCGCAGCGCCCCCCTCGGGATGGTGAGGTCTAAGCTGAATCCGCGCAGGACGTAACTAGGCTTGCCCCCCTGAGCAGCCCTCGAAAGTGGGGACAGTTTCGCAGCTCGCAGCCTCCCAGGGATGGTGATTGCCCCCCCCCCCCCCCCCCCCCCCAACCCTCGAACGTGGTGACAGTTTCGCAGATCGCAGGCCCCCAGGGATGATGAGGTCTAATCTGAATCCGCGGAGGACGTCACCATGCTGCCCCACAGCAACCTTCGAAAGTGATAACAGTTTCGCAGATCGCAGCCCCCCAAGGATGGTGAGGCCTGGTATGAATCCGCATAAGGTGTAACTAGGCTTGCCCCCCCCCCCCCCCCAGCAGGTGCCGTCGAAACTGGGGACAGTTTCGCAGATCGCAGACCCCCCCAGGGATGGTGTGGTGAAGTAAGCAGCAGACCAGCGTGCAATCTCACAGGCATGTAAAAGAGAAGAAGGGGAGAAGGGGAGAGAAGAAGGGAGGCGGAAGGGAAGTAAGGAAGCAGTGGAGTCTTCAGTTCTCTATCCAAAACGAAAGCTCACCGCAGGAGGGTTGGGAAATACATGACGTTGTTTTGACAGTTCTCTGTTTCGGAGATGTTTTTTCTTTCAGTTTTTGTATTCAAAACGGAGGGTCGTCCAAGACTGACCCTAGCACTTGTGCCGTAAAAAAAGGCGGGAGCCGTTAGTGCGTGTTCTCCAGCAGTCGAACAAACAACCCAAACAGAGGTGACGCCGCGTAGCCGAACAAGGGAGGAAAACCACCCGGACCCGACATTTGGCGCTTATTGAATCGCTTCGCTCATTCCGCCGGCCCGTGATATGGCATCGCTGGTTTTTGTCTGTGTGTTCGTTGCCCATGTTGCGCTCTTGGGGGCGGGTGTCGTTCGGACGCGTTGCGTGGGGAGTTTTGATGGTGAAGCAGTTCCCTGGGGGTCGTCTCTCGATGGGGCGAAATAGAGTCGTCGTCAAGATGCTTCTTTGGGGGGCCTCTTGGGGTCTGTTGAGAGGCCGTTCGGGGGCGCCTGGGAGACATGTTTGAAGCCTTCTGGGGCTTCTTTTGGGCCTCCTGGGAGTCTCCTGGGGCCTCTTGGCGACATCTTGGGGCCTCTTGGAGGCCTCTTGGGGCCTCTTTGGGACCTCCTGGGCGCCTTCTGGGACGGAGGGCTCCATTTTTGAGTTCTCGGTATCCCTCCTGAGTCCCTCTTGGGCCCGTCTTGGGGCCTCTTGGTCCGTCTTGGGCGGCACTTGGGCCGTCTTGAGGGCTCTCTTGGGTCGTTTCGGCGCCGTCTTGGGAGCTTCGTGGGCCGTCTTGGAGCGGTCTTGGGGGCCTCTTGGGCCGTCTTGGAGCGTCCGGAAGCCGAAAAAGCCAGAACACAAAAAACATAGAAAAAACAAATGAAAATCAACGATTTTGGCCTCTTGGGGCTCTCTTCGGAGGCCTCTTGGAAGGCTCTTGGGGCGTCTTGGAGGCCTCTTGGGCTGTCTTGGGGGCCTTTTGGGCCGTCTTGGGGTCATCTTCGGCGTCTTCGAGCGCTCTTTGGGCGTCTCGGGGGCCTCTTGGGCAGTCTTGGGGGCCTCTTGGGGCACTCTGAGCGCGCTCTGGGGAGCCTGAGAGGCCGCACCCAGAAGGAAAACCATCTCTGAGTAGACTTGGTCGGGCGGCGGTCGGGCGGCGCGGGCGTTGGTCGGGGTACTTTTCGCCGGGGGACCCCCAGGGGCCGCCCCGCGCGCGCGAACTAGAAATACTGTTAATACTGTTAACCAGTTACCGGAGATCTTAGCACGCCCTGGCCCGTTGGGCCGGCGAATTAGACGGCCCTGGGCGTTTACTAAACAGCCCTGCCTTGCTCGATTCCTTGTGTGGGTGCGTTTGCTAAGCGGCTTCCGGTGTCGGGGTGATCGTAATGGAGGTGGATTTTTTGCCCCCTCTTTTTCAACGCCCGTTTGGACGCCTTCCGCGTTCTTCCCGAGTTGCTTTCCCGCGGCGCTGCGCGCCTTCTCGAGAGATCTCGGAATTGTTATGTGGCCGCCCTGCAGTGGAGACCTACGCCAAGAAACGCCCCGCTTGCCTCCAGGGTGCCCTGGGTTGCTGGGGTTTCGATGGTTTTGCGATGCAAGGCGTGACGCTCCCACGCCAACACTCATTGCACGTCCTGGGGTCTCCGGGTTGGGTTTCTTGCGGAAGGGTTCTTGTGGACGGGCCTCCATTGCATGTCGGCGTCGAGCCAGGGGGGGAAGCGGGAAGGGGAGGTCTTCTCAGAAGGTGGCGGGACTTCTCGGAAGTCCTCCCTCGACCTTCGGAGAAGCTTTCTGAGCTTCCGGGGAAGGCTCGGGACACTTCTCAGCAGGCCGGGGGGGCCTCCCGGGCCTTCGGAGGAGGCCCGCCCCTTCTCACTCCCACCCCCCCGGGGGGCTCGCCGCCGACTGGCCCTCAGACCCTCGGGAAGGCAACGCCTCTCGGGAGACAGCGCGCGGGGGAGAGGAGCCTGCGTGACGAGAAGCTTCGAGCCCCAGGAGGCCCCCAAGGAGGCCCAACAGAGGCCCAAGAGGCCGCCCCCGAGAGGCCCCCAAGAGGCCCCCGAGAAGCCTGCGTAACGATAAACTTCGAGCCTGCGTGACGAGAAACTTCGAGCCCCAAGAGGCTCCCAAGGAGGCCCAAAAGAGGCTCCGAGGCGGCCCCTGGGCGCGCCGCCGACTGCGAGGTGCGCGATCGAGCGCCCCGCGCTGCTCGCCGCAGCCTGGCGCGCGGGCGGCGCCCATGCCTGCATGCCTGGGCCGCGGCGCGCGCGCGCGGGAAGGTGCGCGCTTTCTTGTGCCAGCGGGAGGCACGCCTCGCGCTCAGCTGTTGTCGGCGGCGCGCCCGGGGGGGAAAGTGGGAATTTGGGCCTCCCAGGTGTGGGCCGAGCAGATGGGGTCGAAGGATCGCTCCGCATCGCCGACGCATCGGCGATGTGGCTCGATGTGGAACCCGAGTTTCCCCACGCCGACGTCGCCGATGCATCGCCGACGTCGCCGACGCATCGTCGATGCATCGCCGATGCATCGGCGATACATCGGCGATCCAATGCAATCCTCCGACCCCATTTACTCGGACCCCACCTAGGAGACCTCTAGAAGAGGGGGCGGGCCTTCTCAGAAGGCTCGGAAGCCTCCTGGCCTTCTGAGAGGTGTTCTGAGCCTCCCAGCCTGGAGGCTCAGACAATTCCTCAGGAGGCCGAGGGAGGGCTTCTGAGGAGTCCCGCCGCCTCCCTGGCATCGCTCGGACGTGTGCATTTTCCTTCGGCGAGAGACCATTGAGGAGCATCCTTGATCACTTGGCGAAAGAACCACGCACGAAACTGAACAAAAAACACAGGGAATAGACGTCCCAGCGATGGCCAGCCTCCCCTCCCCACTTTCCCCCCCTTGCTCGCCGCCGAGCCTGCGCGCGCGCCGCGCGGGGGAGCTCGCCGGCGCCCCGAGGCGGAGGGGGCGCCCGCTCCGTGCCCTGGGGGCCCAGACCGGCGCTGCCCTGGCCCAGAGCTCTTCCGAGCGACTCGGGCGTCCAGAGCCGCTCCCGAGCCGGCCGGGGGGGGGGGTGGCGGGGGCGGCCAGTCGGGGGCGGAAAAGAGGGGGGGGATGACTAGGGGGGGGGTGGATCTCATGGCGGGGGCCATGATAGTTCCCCAGATTTCATGGCGCCTCTTCTTGTTTCATGACGTCCCTGACCCCCCCGCTGGGCCGCGCACGTGCCGCCGGTCATGATTTGCCCCCCCCCCCCCCCTCTTGGACACCCCCCTCTTGGCCGCTCCCGAGCCAGGGGTCGGCAGCTCCTGGTTCGGGCGTCGGGGGCCCGAGCAGGAGCTGCCCGGAGAGCTCGGGCGCCCAGGCGTGCACGCGCCGCCGGGACCTCGCGATCGCGCCGGTCGCGGCTTCGTCTGCGGGGGGCCTCGCGATGCCAAGCGGGTCCTCACGGGCAGTTTGGTCGGCTGATGGCTGCAGCGGGACGGACGGCCGACGGGCGGCTACGGCACGGCTGTGGTCTCGATTGCTGCTGTGTTGAGCTCACGCTGTGCTGGCCCTCGAGGTCAGGATCGGGCGCCCAAGCTCCCGCTTGTCCCCCACTCCAGGGCGCCCTTCGCGCTCGCCCCCTCTCTTCCCAGCCCCCCTCGGTCCTTAGCCCCGCCCCTGCCTTGCGGGTTCCTTCCCCTCGTGTCTCATCTCTCAGAGGCAACGATAGGGGCGAATAGCCCAGGGGAGAGGAATCCGTGTATTCAGGTGCGCCGATGATCTATGTCTTCGAAAAGGCTCCCGGGCGAATGCGTGTAATGCCCGCCCCTGGGCTCTTCGCCCCTATCGTCGCCGCCGACATCTCCCCTGCCTCAATTAGTTCCCGACGTGTCTCGCCCGTAGCCCCACCGGCGCCTGCACCAGCCTCGACTCTCTTGCGCCCGCGGACAAAAAAAGGTGTCTCTTTTCTCCGCCGCCGCCCTCTCTGCCCCGCCATCGACGTTCCCCTCGCCCCCTCGCCGACTCCTTCCCCCTCCGCCCCCGCCGTACTTACACGCCGCCCCCCCCATTCTTGTGCTGTCTCAGTCTCCTCCCGTGGAAGAAGAAAGCTACATAAAGATAAGCTTTTGGCGCTCCGCGCGGACCTCTTGGACCCACGCTGGGGCCCCCCTGGCGGCGCTCCGCGCGCCAGGGACGGGGGTCCGTGTCAGATCGAAGACATCCGCGCGGAGCACCACAAGTTTGTGCTTCTGCAGTTCTTGCTTCTTCTGTCTTGCTCCTGTTGCTGCGCGTCCTCCTCCCTCATATGAGCGACTCAAACATATGGGGTCGTCTTCGCCGACACTGGCGCGTAAGCTGCCCGCGTAAGAGCTCGCGGCCCGCGTAGGCTGCGGCGTACGGTCGCTACGCCACCTCGCGTAAGACCTTTTTGATAGTCGCTCATGTGTTTCCCCACGGCCCTGTGGTGCTGGGTCCTCGTTTCGACGAGGCGGCGCCCCGCGTTCCTCACTCCTCCTCCTCCTCCCCTCCTCGCATCCTTGCCTCTGCCCCGCCTCAGCTCTCCGCATCAGTCAACCACTTCGGCACACCTCTCACACGTATCGTGAGCCACAGGGAGCTCCACCGAAGCCCCAGTGGCAAAGTTCGGATGCGTTCACCCCGCCCAGTACAGCGCTTGGTTCTCCGCCGAAGGCTCCGGTGGCAAAATTCGCGTGCGTCTCCCACGCCCAGCAACGTTTCGTGGCCCATAGACAGCTCCACCAAGGGCCCTAGCGGCAAACTTCGCGTGCGTCTCCACCGCCCAGTACAGCGTTTCGTGGCCTGTAGGGAGCTGTACCGAAGGCCCCTCTGGCAAAGTTCGCATGCGCCCCCCACCCACACAGTAAAAGTTTGTATCCGTCTCCCCTACCCAGTACAACGTTTCGTGGCCCATATGGGGCCCCACCGAAGGCCCCAGTCGCAAAGCCAGTACAGCGTCTCGTGGCCCATAGGCGGCTCCAACGAAGGCTCCAGTGGCAAAGTTCGCATGCGTCTCCCGGACCCAGTACAGCGGCGTTTCGTGGGGCATAGAGAACTCCACCGAAGGCCACAGTTAGGGGGCCATATGCGAACCCTATCCCTACCCCCCGCGATTTCTGAGGGGGAGGGGGGGTTCACTTCGTTCGGGAGCTCCCGAGCGAAGTGAATCTCCCCCTCCCCCTCAGAAATCGTGGGGGGTAGGTGTAGGGTTCGCACGAGGACCCCTACCAGTGGCAATGTTCGCATGCCTCTCCAATGCCAGGCACAGCGTTTCGTGGCCCATCGGGAACTCCTCCGAAGGCCTCAATGACAAAGTTCGCGTGCGTCTCCCCCGCCCTGTATAGCGTTTCGTGGCCCATCGGGAACTCCACCGAAGGCCCCAGTCGCAAAGTTCGCATGCGTCTCCCCCACCTAGTACAGCGTCTCGTGGCCCATACGTAGCCCCATCGAAGGCCCCAGTGGCAAAGTTCGCATTCGTCTCCCGGACCCAGTACAGCGTCTCGTGGCCCGTAAGGGAGCTCCACCGAAGACGATACCCACAACTGCGGTACTCACGACTGCGTATGGTTGGGTCGGTCGCCAGGTTATTTTTTATGTCCACGCCCTCCCTCCCCTCATTCCTGCTCCTCCTCTCCGTCCTCCGCCATCCCTCCTCTTCCACTTCCCCTTCCCCGTCCATCCTGACCCCCATTTCCCCGTGTTCCCTCCTCCGTCGCTGTCTCCAGTGTACCTCTTCCTCTGACTCCTCGTCTGCCTCGACGGCCGAGAAGGGGACTGCAGCAGGGGGCGGGCACACGGTCCGAGGACGACGACTTCTGCGCAAGAGAGGGCCGCCCGCCGCGGAGGCACTCACGGACATCGCGGGGCGAGTTGTCGGAGGCGTCGGGCTTCTCCGCGCCTGTTCACCGAGGAGGAGGAGGAGGAGGAGGAGGAGGAGGAGGAGGAGGAGGAGGAGGAGGAGGAGGAGGAGGAGGAGGAGGAGGAGGACCTCTTACCAGGCGGTGGGGCCAGACCCAGATCCCCGACGTTCTGATTTTTCACAGTCCCGACCACATCGGGTCCTCATCCTTCTCCGTCTCGGCCTGTTCACCTCGTTGCCGATGTCGAGAAGTCCCCTCACGGCCCGCGCCGCCGACCCTGCTGGCGGGACCTCCCCCGGGGCCCCCGTGGGCGGCTTCCCCGGGGCCCGTCGGGACCCCAGAGGGGGTGGGGGCGGCATTCTAACCGTTAGGACCGCCCCCCGCTCTGCACCATAGTCTTGCTTGCTCTGTTGCCAGCCTGAGCCTATGCCCGGGAGGCTACCTGCCAGATCAGCGCCCTTTGCAGAGCACAGGCCTTGCAGGCTGCCAGATTGCATGGGACACATCCTCCACATGATCTGGGAAGCATGCACAGGAGCTGCAACTGCTCCACCTCCCAGACCCGCGCTGGATTGCTGATGTCCCTCCTTGGTCCGTCTGCCCCCCCCGTACAACGCGGCCGACGAGAGGCATGGCCGGAGACCCAGGCCGCGCTCTGCTTCAGGGGCGGCGCTAAGGGGGGGGGATAGGCATACAGCGGAGATCCATGCCAAGAAACACCCCGCCTGCCTCCAGGGTGCCCTGGGCTTCTTGGATTTCGATGGTTTTGCTATGGAAGGCGTGACGCTCCCACACCGAAAATCAATGGACGTCCTGGGGTCTCTGGAATGGGTTTCTTGTGGAAGGCTTCTTGTGGTCGAGCTCCTGCTGTAGGGGGGATGCTTCGACCCCGAATCGCCCATGGATCGGCGGTAGGGGCCCGATAGCCCCACCCCGCGCAGGAACGTTCGTGTTGGCTATCGCCGATTCCAGGTCGATGTTCCCCCCCTTTCCTGAGCCAGTCCCTTAATGGCTTCTGGGTCATAACACGGGCCTCTGGCGGCCGTTCGGGACGTTCCTGGCACCCTGGGAACGCCCTCGGCGAGGCGCAGCCGCTGGAAGGAATCCAGAGGCTCGAGTAGGGGATCGACTGCAAAATCGATTTACCCAGAATATTGCATCCCCCCATTGCCAGTCCCCATGCCAGTCCCCAGAGATCCGACGTCGTGATTTTTTCAACACTGGGTCCCTGGGAGTCTCGACCTATTCCCCCGGACCGCTTTTTCATCCTGGGTCGTTTTCTGCGTCCCGAGGTCCGGCGAGGGCCCCCCAGGGGCGGAATTGTGTAACAAAAATTCCGTCTTGATTTTTTCAATACGTTGGGCCTTTGGGTCCCCCATGCCAGTCCCCCCCCATACCAGTCCCCCATGCCGGTCCCCCGCTAGCGTTGCCCCTCGTTGCTGTGGTCTTCCTCGGGCCGGATCGCGGCGCGCAGGCCTTCCGGGGGCTTCACACGAAAACCCCAGCCAGCGAGGGCGCCCGGTTTACAACTAGAAAAGGCGACGCCCGGGTCTCTCACGGGGCACGGTCCCCGCCGGAGGATCACGCCATCATGGGATTCGCGGCCCAGAGATCCAATGCGTTGGCTGAAATCAAGACGGAGGTTTCTCGCAGATGTCGGCCCTTGGGGGCCTTCGCCGGGCCTCGGGACTGTCGGAGAACGACGCAGGATGAAAAAGCGGTCTGGGGGGATGGGTCGAAACTTGAGGGGGCCGCGTGTTGTAAAAGTCACGACGGCTGATCTCTGGGAGGGTGGGCGTTTGTTATTTTCTTCCCCGGAATGACGCTCGCTACCTGCCCCCCCCCCCCCGGGCAGCGCTGACGATGACGATAGTGTTGGGGGGCGGGGTGCCCTCCTATTCTCCTCCTCCTACTCCTCCTCCTCCTCCCACTCCTCCTCCTCCTCCTCCTCCTCCTCCTCCTCCTCCTCCTCCTCCTCCTCCTCCTCCTCTCCGTCCCCCTCCTCCTCTCCGTCCCCTTCCTCCTCCTCCTCCTCCTCCTCCTCCTCCTCCTGCATACATTCTTCGGTGCACGCAGGCGAGTGATGCGCCAGTGGCGCGGACGCACCCGGACGGGCGCATGCCGCGGCCGCCGTTACTGTTACCCTCCCTCCCGACCGCCCCCCCGTGTAACGACCGCTACCCGGGAAAGAAAAACAAAAACACGGTAACGGGGAAGGGCGGGCAATTGACGAACTAAGTTTTTTGCTAAATTTCTCGGCGGCACGAGATAGCCCATTTCGTTTTTTCCTGCCTTCTTCGTTTGTCTGGTTTTTTGTATGAGTTATTGAGCTTTTCTCCGATCCGCTTCGTTGTTCGTCGTTGTCGCTGTTATAACTAAATATATCCTTACGGGCGTCGTTATCAGTTCCGTTTTCTTGTGCCGCCGGGAGAGTATCCCGAACCCCCCCCCGCGCCGGAGTGCCAGACCAACGGATCTGTCATCCATGTTAGCGTGTACCTGGCCAGAGTTGGTGTCCGCCTCCTCCACCTCCTCCTCTTCCTCCTCCCATTCAGAGTCGTCCCCTGGATCTCTCCTGGGGCGCGTTGGGCCTGCAGACTCCAGACCCGCCGGCTTCCAGAGAGTCCAAGGGTCGTGTCGAACAATGTCGTTTTCGCGATTTGACAGTCGGGGAAACGTGAGACTTGAGTAAGCCGGAACTCGGGTTTGCCGACTTGTTTTTGACGAGCGCGTTCTGGATTTTGACGGTCCGTTTTCGTGGGATGTCTGCAACGGGAGGCCGCGTCAAATTTCAGATTGGGTCTCGTCATTTTTACGATGGCCCCCTTCAGGCCAACCCGAATCCCCCGTTCTCGAGTCCTAACCTTCCTCGAAGCAGGCGATACGCGCGAGATCTGGCATGCGATTGTCATGGCGCCAACATCGCAGAGCGGATTTCATTCGGAAAACATAAGGTTGGGCCCGGAGTGTCCTGGATAATTTCGTTTCGGATTTCGAAGTTATTTTCGTGCGGATTTTGTTTGGCCAGGAATGCAGATAAACAAATCCACGCGAAATTCACGTTGGTCTTCGCTGGCCATTTCGGGGTGTTGCACCGAGAGAAGTCAACCCAGAAATCCGCTGCAGCACGTCTGCAAGGCTGGTGCAATGACGAGTAGTGGATCGCGCGAAAAACGGTGAACAGAGGCGGAAAATTGTCCGCCAAGCAGGTTCAAACAGAGGAAGAGGATACCCGTCTTTCTTTCCAGGCTACTTCACGCTTGCCCTTGGACGATTATTCTGGGCGGCCAACCGCCTTAGTCATAGTGCGACGGACCAGCGGTCAGCTTCGAGCTCCGAGGAGGATGAGGATGAGGAGTAGGAGGAGGAGTTCATTTTCGTCCTGCCTCGTCTTGCCAAGAACAGGGTCAACGTGAGGGGGATACAGGAACAGGGGGCGTTGCATCGATCTCCGATCGCCCGTTCATCGACGACAGGCGCCCGATGGCCCACTCCGCCCGGCAGCGTGCGGATCTGCCACCTGTCGCCGACCTCTCGGCGATGTATCGCCGAGTCCAGCTCGGTGTTCCCCCCCCCTGAGCCAGTCTCGTCTTGTCGGCCACGCGCAGACGAGGGTAGGGGGAGGGGGGAAGGCTTCTTAGAAGCGCCCCTGCTTCTTAGAAGGCGCGGGCCTTCTCTATAGATGTAAGGCTGGCGCCTTTAAGAAGCGGCCTCCTCTTCCCCCCTCCCCCTACCTCTTCGTGCGCGCCGCCAATGTTGGTCTCTCTGGGTCACAACACGGGCCTCTGGCGGCCGTTCGGGGCGATCCTGGCACCCTGGGAACGTCCTCGGCGAGGCGCAGCCGCCGAAAGGCACCCAGAGGCTCCAGTATAATCGATTTACTGCAAACTTGATTCTTCAGTCGAATTCACAAACACATCCGAAGACTGTTCCATAGATCTACGAACATTCGATATTTCTACGCATTTTTGATGGGAAAAACCCCGGGGTGAATCAATATGGCAGTCGATCCCCTGCTCGAGAAGCTGGAATGGAAAGCCGCCGGGAACCAGTGAAGACGCCCAGAAGCCTCGAATCTCGAATCTCAACATTTCGTCCACCCCCTTTGACGCTCCCCCTCGCGTGAGAGGGTACAGCGCGCCAAGATCTCCTCGGTCCCCCCTGCCCCTCTACAGGAGGTATTTCCCAGAGTTGCAAAAATTAGCCTGCCTGGATTTTGGTAGGACCATTTTTCCATTTTTTTGCTTACAACATCCGCCTGTCGGCGGATTTGAATAACAAAACAGTTGTTCTTCCAGTTTTTCTTGAAAGAATCTTCCAACATTTCTTCTTCCGACCTGGCCCTGCGGCTGCCCCGCTCCGCCGCGGCGACACCCCCCCGCACCGCCGCTGGCGACCCCCCCCGCCCTGGCGGCGGCCCAGCGCGCGAGGCGGGGGCGAGCTGTGCGACCTGGCCTACAGCCAGGACCCCCCGGGGCAGCGGGATCGCACGGGCAGCGGGATCCGCCTGGGTATCGCCTGGGATCGCGGGACTTGTCTCCTCCTCCTCCTCCTCCTCCTGCTCCTCCTCCTCCTCCTCCTCCTCCTCCTCCTCCTCCTCCTCCTCCTCCTCCTCCCCCTACTCCTCCTCCTCCTCCCCCTCCTCCTCCTCCTCCTCCTCCCCCTCCTCCTCCGTCCGTTTGAGGCACAAGGTTGCCCGCCCAGCAGCGGACGCTTTCGGCTTTGAGCGGCAGCCTCTGCCGTCGGGCTTCGTGCCCGCTTCCTCCCGGTAATTGTCGGGCATGCCAAGCAGAGTGGACGGCGGCCCCGGTAATGCCTGGGCCTCAGCCCACCACTCGAAGAAGCAGACACGCAACGCCACAGACGTAAACGTCTGGCGCCCCGCGGGGGGCCTGCTTGGATCCGCGCGGGGCCCCCCCCCAGCGGGACTATCTGCGGCGCGCCGCCCCTGGCGCGCTCCGCGCGGCAGGGGGGGGGGGTCCAGCGCAGACCCAAGAAGTCTGCGCGGAGCGCCAGCAGTTTGTGTGTTGTGCCGTTTTGTCTCCTATCGGCGGCCGGTTGAGGCAGGGGGATGCTCGCGAGCGGCGAGCATCTCCGCATCTCACCGGGCGCGCTCCAGTGCTCGCAAAGTTCTGGGCTTCCCAGATGGGGTCGGAGTGGATGGGGCCGGAGGATCGCGCCGCGTCGCCGATGCGTCGGCGATGCGGCTCGATGCGGAGCCCGATCTGTTTCGCGTCGGCGTCGCTGATGCGTCGCCGACGTCGCCGATGCGGCGCGATCCTCCGACCCCAGCCTACTCCGACCCCATCCAGGAGGCCTCTAGGCACGGGGGTGCTCGCGGGCGGCGACCACCTCCGTATACCTACCTCACCGGGCGCGGTCCGCTGCTCGCGGAGTGCCTGCTCGCAGGCGCCCGAAGAGCACACGCTCGCCACGGCGTAGCGGATCGTAGACCCCCCGCGGCGGATCCAGGCCCGTTTGCTCTGAGGCCCGAAAACCATCACGTCACTAATTTTGGGCCCCAGGGCCCACTGAGGCCCCAGGGGCCCCAGATTAGTGAAGTGATGTTTTTTCCCACGTAAGGACCCCGAAATTCATCACTTCACTAAACCAAGCCCAGGACGAAAGTCAGGGGCCGAATTCCTGCTGTGATGCAACATCGGTCTCGTAGTTTGCGAGCAGTCACTGTGCGAGTCGTGGAATGCGCTTGTCTGGAATCCGCGACCTCGCGGTGTTCCGGGGCGCGTTTCCGCGGTCGCACGGACGCGTTCCGCGCGGGGCATCCGCGGAAGAAGCGCCCCGTGCCGTGGGGTCGCCTGGGCGGCCGGAAGCGACGCCCACTGATTTTTTTCGGGTCTGTTATGATTTCTGATGCTCTCGTTTTCGTGGGATGTTTGCGGCGGGAGCTCGCGTCACATTTAAGGCTGGGTCTCGTAGTTTTCCTGACGGCAGCCCGATTCCCACGAATCCGCGTCTTACGTTTCCCTAGAGGGTGGCGAGTGGTCCTTCGAGGCAGGTTTTGTTGTTGGGGGGGGGGCTGGGCTCGAGGTTGAGGTTTACGAGTGTTTTCGTCGGTTCCTGGCGGTTCTCTCGCCTCGGGAGGACGCTTTCCAGCAGCTGCGCCTCGCCGAGAGCGTTCCCGGGGTGCCCAGGCCGTCCCGAACGGCCGCCAGAGGCCCGAGTTCTGACCCGAAAGCCACCAGGCTTGGGGGATGGGGGGGGGACATCATGGCCGGGACCATGGACTCGCCCGGGATGTCATTCTTTGGGCCCCCAAACGGTGCGGTGACCACATCGTGCGGTGAGCCAGCGGGGATTCGGGGTCACCGCACGGTCTTGAGACTCGGGTCGTTCTCCGAGGACGTCTCGGGCGACAGGGGCCTCCGAGGTCCCAAGACCGTGCGGTGACGGACCGCGCGGTGAGGTCTGGGGGGATTTCGAGGTCACCGCACGGTGCGTCACCGCACCGCTTCGGGCCTCCAAAGTCAGGGCTTCTTGAGAGTCAACGTTAGGGGGGGATAGGCTCAGGGGGAGTGCATCGACCCTCGAGCGCCTGCTCCTCGCAAACGGGAGCCGATAGCCAGCGCCCGCCCAGCTACTGGCGGTTTCGCCCTCGGGGGCATAGCGCGATGCGTCGCCGATTTCAGGCAGACGTTTCCTCCCCTCCTCCCTGAGCCGGCCCCCCCTGTGTCGTTGCCCCTGAGTCGAGTGAGTGTCTGCGGCCTGGTGCAATCCCGGTCATCAGGGCTTCATTTCCACGCTCCAGGGCCAAGTTTGAGGCTGTCAGCCAGGGGGAGCGTCAGGCTGCCCCCAGTGGGAGCGGGGCGAGGAGGGCAGGTTGGAGGATGAGAAGGTGGATGATGATGAGTATGAGGAGGAGGAGGAGGAGGAGGAGGATGCCTGAGGAGGAGGATGAAGCCTGAGGAGGAGGATGCCTGAGGAGGAGGATGCCTGAGGAGGAGGAGGAGGAGGAGGAGGGAGAAGGGAGAAGGGATGAAGGAGGATGGAGGGCGAGAGGAAGGAGAAAGAGAATGTGTAGGCATGATGAGAACGAGAGGGGGAAGGACGAGAGAGCACGGGGGAAGGAGGGACGGCTGTCATGATGTTGATGATGATGAGGTTGATGGTCATGTTGATGACGCTGCTGATGCTACTTGTCATTGTGATGATCATGAGGGCGTTGGTGCTGGTGATGAAGGCGATGATGATGATGACGATGATGATGCTGATGATGATGAGTATGAGGAGGAGGATGAGGATGAGGAGAATGAGGAGGATTATGAGGAGCAGGACGAGGATGGGGATGGGGATGGGGATGAGGATGATGATGCTGATAATGATGATGATGATGGTGATGACGATGCCGATGACGATGATGATGCTGATGCTGCTGCTTACGCTGTTTATGCTGATGATGATGGTGATTGTGATGATGATGCGGATGATGCTGATGATGATGGTGATGATGATGCTATTCCTACATGGTGATGGTGATGGTGATATTGATGGTGATGTTGCTGCTGCTGCTGATGATGATGATGATGATGATGATCTTGTTGTTGATGATGATGAGGACGATGCTGCTGTCGATGATAGTGCTGATGAGGGTTATGCTGCTGCTGATGATATTGTTGCTGATGATGATGACTATGAAGCTGATTCTATGGGTGATGCTGATCATGATCATGATGATGATGCTCATGATGATGCCGATGCTGATGATGATGACGTCGTTGATGTTGATGATGCTGCTGATGATGCTGCACATGTTGAACATGATGATGATGATGCTGATGCTGATGATGCTGATGATGAAGATGCTGATAATGATGCTGCTGCTGATGATGATGATGCTGGTGATGATGATGATGCTGATGATGATGATGATGATGACGATGATGATGATGATGACGACGATGATGATGATGATGATGATGATGATGATGATGATGATGATGATGATGATGATGATGATGATGATGATGATGATGATGATGATGATGATGATGATGATGATGATGATGATGATGATGATGATGATGATGATGATGATGATGATGATGATGGATGATGATGCTGATGGGTGGGGCAGAAGGAGCAGGATGGGAGGCGGGGGAGTAGGAGGGAGTAGGAGGATGGAGGAGGGGAGGGTGTAGGAGGGGGGACGGGTGGAGGAGGAGGAGGGAGGAGAGAAGGAGGAGGAGGAGGAATGGTTGGAGGAGGAGGAGGAGGAGGAGGAGGAGGAGGAGGAGGAGGAGGAGGAGGGGACCTGGTGGAGGAGGAAGGAGGAGCGAGGAGGAGGAGCAGGAGGAGGAGGAGGAGGAGGAGGGGGAGGAGGAGGAGGAGGAGGAGGAGGAGGAGGAGGAGGGGAGGGTGGAGGAGGAGGAGGAGGAGGGGACTTCTTTCGCTGAGCCCCCCCTCTCCCGCCCCATCGCTCCCACAGGATGAGTCCCTTGTCCAGTTCTACCCCGAGGCGCGCGCCTCGCCGCAACATATTTGTGAGTTGACCTCCAGCAGGCTTATGCTACACGACCGATGTGCACGGGCTTTCGGACTTTGAGCTCGCTACTGCACGTCGGCTTCTTGGTTCGCTATCGCGTCCGTCTGCAGGCACGAGGTCTCTCGCATCTCTCGTCATTCTACGCGAAGATCCATCATGGTATGGGTCAGTTGCACCGGTGGTTAGATACGCGAACGAGGATTTTTCCAGTCAGATGAGGCCCTCCGAGCATTTCCTACCTTTCCAGACGTTGCGGGAGGCAGGAAGAGTTGTCTTGGAAAAGCGTGACTGGTCCCCTCTTGTCCCTCCGTATGAACCTCAATAGGATCCATTGGGGTATGAACAGCTTTTGTATTACAGTCCACGACTTCGGAGAGGATCTTCATCTATCTATGCGACCACCCTGGGGGGAAAAAGAGGTTGGGAGGCGTGGGGGAAGAACCACCTGCTGGCAAATGCGATGGATGTGGATGTGATCATGGTGATACTGGTGACACGCCCTCGAGTTAGCGACGACGCGTGATGACGATGTTGCGCTGCGATGTAGTGTCAGTATCGTCCCCGCGTTCGATCTTACTTGGTCGATCTTACTACTGACCTCACAGGATCCATCACACTCGATTGATTTCAATATCGATCTCACTAAATATTTCAGTGTAGATCTCGCTTTCGATCCCACTATCGATCTCACTATCGATTCCTCTGTCGATCTCACTATCGATCTGACTATCGATCTCACGACCAATGTCACAGTCACCCTCACTCTCGATCTCACCTTCGATCTCACTACCCATCCCATCCTAGCGATCTCACTATCCATCTCACTATCGACCTCATTATCGGTACCAGGGCGGGACACCCACGGCCACCGCCCGCCCACTGCCGACGGAACACCGACGGGACACCCACGGGACATTCACGGGACACTCACGGGACACCAACGGGACACCAACGGGGCATCACGGGACACCACGGC